GTCCATCGGTCCGTGCGCCGATCGAGATCGCGGCCATGGCCGTCCGCGCCAGCTTCGAGAACAACAACGAGCTGGGCTGCTTCGCCAAGCTCACCAATGCCTACTGCCTGGTGGCTATCGGCGGCTCCGAGAACTTCTACAGGTGAGAGAGCCGCGAGGGCCCTGCCCGGCCACCCCGAGCCCCGCGCCCGCTCCTAACGGCGCCTTCTTCTTGCAGCGTCTTCGAGGGAGAGCTCTTCGAGACCATCCCGGTGGTGCACGCCTCCATCGCCGGCTGCCGCATCATCGGCAGGATGTGTGTGGGTAGGTGGCCGGAGCTCGCAGCCGGGTGGGAGCGGAGGGACAGCGGGGCCGTGCTCTGCCCGTGCCCGCGCCGAGGGGTCCCGGCTGCAGTGCGGAGGCCGGGCGGAGGGCAGCGCTCCTCGTCCTCGAGGCTTTTATTTGCATCGTGCAGAGAAGTTGTAAAGCTGGAGTAAATCTTAGAATCGTTAGAGTTGGAAGGGACTTCTGAAGGCCATCTAGTCCAACTCCTCTGCAGTGAACAGGGACAGCACTGTCAGATTGCCTTGGGCCTTCTCCAGCCTTGGAAGTCTCCAGGGATGGAGCATAAACCTCATCCCTCGGTAACCTGTTCCAGTGCCTCAACGCCCTCACTGTCAAAGTCTTTTTTATGTCTCTCCTGTTCTGAGGACTGCATGCCTGGACACAGTACTCCAGGTGAGTGCTGTGCAGAGCAGAGGGGCAGATCCCCTCCCTTGCTTTCGTGGCCACGCATCTTTTGACGCAGCCCAAAGATACAATTGGCTTTCTGGACTAAGGGCACACTGCTGTGCTGTACTGGTTCCCACCCACCAGTACCCCCAGGTCTTTTCTGGCAGGGCTGCACTCAGTCCTTTCATCCCCCAGCTTGTATTGGTAATGGGGGTTGCCTCGGTCCAGGTGCAGACCTTCACTTGGATTTGTTGGACCTCATGAGGTTCACCTGGACCCAATGCTCAGCCTGTGTAGGTCCTTCTGAATGGTGTCCAGTCTTGAGCATGTTGACCCCACCCCACAGCTTGGTGTTATCAGTCAACTTGCTGAGGGTGCCCTTGATTCCCCTGTCAGTGTCACTGATATTAAAGAGCATCTGCCCCAGCACTGGCCCCTGGGGGGCACCACTCATCACTGATCTCCATCCAGACCATTGACCGCTGCTCTTTGGTCTTGATCCTGCAATCAGTTCTTTGTTGAAGAGTCCACCCATCAAATCCTTATCTTTCCAATTTGGAGAGGAGGATGTTGTGAGCTGCTGTGTCAGAGTGAAGTCAAGATAGATGCCGTCAGTGCCTCTTCCCTTGTCCATTGATGCAGTGAAATAAAAAAAAAGCTTGGCCAGTACAAACAAATGAAATCCAACAATACAACAAGCAGCCACCCAAAATAGGGTTGCAGGGAATGTCTGGTGGTCAGGACCTGAAGAGAGGTCATTGATGTGCATAAATCGGTTTTGTATAAACAGGGAGAAGCTGTTCCATTTCATGTGGAGGTTAGTGATTCAGAACCATTGCTGGAGGGAGCATTCCAGATGTGGAGGTCAAAGAAAGGGCTTTCCCTGACTGGCTGCTGACACGCTGTTTAGTGGAGCTTTGTGCTTGCTTTTTGTTCCTGGAAGGTCTCTGCTCATGCAGCCTTACAGCCTTGCTAAAGGAAAGCAACAAAAACGAGCTCTATGGGGGCAGTCAGCACCTTTTGGGGGAAATCATTCCAAAGCGTTGTGTTTGGAACCTTGTGTGTCCTATTGAAAAGGCTGGATAAAAGTAGTGCAGTTTACCTGTTTATATTCTTAAATCTTTGTTTTATCTTCGTTTTCCACCTCACTTGTGCTTTTGTATTAATAAATGGTCGCATCATTTCTGTGGGACTGAATTTTGGGCTTGAAAAGAGTAGGGAGAGCAAGAGCCCCAAGCCATTGTGTCAGCATCAGGAAAGTAGTAAGCACAGTGGAAATACCTGCTTTTTTTAAAGTTAAAGTGGAACTCTTTGTCTTCTTCTCTTGTTTTTGGGTCACCTTAGGGAACAGGCACGGGCTCTTGGTGCCAAGCAGTACAACAGACCAGGAGCTGCAGCACATCCGCAACAGCCTCCCCGATTCCGTGCGAATTCAGCGAGTGGAGGAGCGGCTCTCGGCGCTGGGCAACGTCACCACCTGCAATGACTACGTAGCTCTTGTTCACCCGGACCTGGACAGGGTATACGGCTTCTGAATTCAGTGTGGATACACCTGAAATTACTGCTAAGTTGCAGGTTCAGCTTGTAGCTATTTGGGGATTACTGTAAGTAGTGTGAATGCCAGAGGAGCAGCGCCACCAGCTGAGCTAACAGCACGTAGGAAGCTGTGTTCCCTGTTTCCTTTCCTCTCAGGAGAAGAATCTCAGTATTGGATTTTGAACTTATGACTCTGTTTCAGTCGATCAGTTTCTTTTCCTATTGTTATCTTTACTTGCAGGTGTGGAGCCTGTCCTAAGTATATAGTGTGCATACTGCATTGAGCATACTGTAGTTAGCTGTGCTTGTAGAAAGAAAGGAGTGGGATATGGAAGAGTACTGTGAGGTACAATTAGCTTTGTACATGTAAAATTGAAGCAACAGTGTGTGTGTATGCAGAGAACATAGAAAGCTTAGAAAGTAATAATAGCAACAAGATGTCACTGACCTACTTGAAAGTTTTGTAATATCCATGGTCTCTGCCAGCACTGTAGTGGTGTATGTGTCCATAGGGAAAAATAGAAGCTCTTGTATAAAAAGTTAAAGGCAGGGCAGAAGGAGGAGGGGAAAGCAGTGCTCAGTGGGGTGTGTTTGTTAGAGTTGTGCTGGCTTGCAGCTCACAGTGCAGGTAACTGGGTCCAGGTTAATCCAGAAGAGGAGGAGCATTCTGTAATGTTTGAATTGCAGTGGGTTGTGAAAGTGAGGGCAGGCTTTCAGTGGGAGGATCCCAGCTGGTCACTCTTTGAAAGAATACTGTGACTGCAATTTGTACAATGCCATTTTGCTGAGGACTTTGTTCTCTTTGCAGGAAACTGAAGAGATCTTGGCAGATGTACTGAAGGTTGAAGTTTTCAGACAAACAGTAGCAGATCAGGTGCTGGTAGGAAGTTACTGTATATTTAGTAACCAAGGAGGAATTGTGCACCCCAAAACTTCCATTGAGGATCAGGACGAACTGTCTTCATTGCTGCAGGTCCCACTTGTGGTAAGGCTTGTGAGGTTTTGTGTTTTTTCTCACTGCTCCCTTCCATCCCAGTTTGTGGTTTTAGTGATTCTGCATTCTCACGGGCTCCTAGACTGGTTTCCCTGTGAGGCTGCTCCAAATGGGAGGTGAAGAGAAGACCCGAAGGAGGTCAGTTCTGAGGCACGTTCCCCTTCTTTTCCGTGTTTGAATAAGATGCACAGAACCTTCAGGTTGCTTCTGAAACGTTCTGCCAGGGTTTTGCAATTTGAGATGACTCGTTCACAGTGTGAAATGGTTGGTGGTTTGGCCGAAGGCAGTGTTGAAAAAGAGTTGAGCAATAAAATCCCGTGTCTGCACTGTGGGACTTTTAAATCCAGGGATTGCTCTGCCTTTTTGCTTCCTGTTCGTGATGGGGTATTAGGATTGTTTTGGTTTTTGTTCTCTGGATCTCATAGACTTTTCTTTCCAGAGGATGAAGGCTGAGTAAGGAAGCGTAATAAAATGTATTGATATCAGAATGCCATGCTGACTTTTGCCACTTTGTTTATTTTCCAGGCTGGAACGGTAAACCGTGGCAGTGAGGTCATTGGAGCAGGAATGGTTGTAAATGACTGGTGTGCCTTCTGTGGGCTGGACACAACCAGCACTGAGCTCTCGGTCATTGAGAGCATCTTCAAGCTGAATGAAGCTCAGCCAAGTACTATTGCTACCAACATGAGAGATTCCTTGATAGACAGGTAAGGAGGATCCAGCTCTGTGCATAATTGTAATCAAAACAGAGAGGATTTCAGTACAAGGAAGCTATAAAAACTAGCTGCCTCTCAAAGTTGATTGCTCTCTTCTTGTTTCAAGCATGATAGGGAAAAGAGTGGGGGAAGGGGGGCCCCTTTCACCCTTCTGTCCCTCTTTTGGAAAAGAAAAGCAACCCCAGTCAGATAAGGAGAGATAAAAGATTTACTACAGATGGTAGAAGACTGTAAGATAATAAGAAAGAGTTACAATTAACAAATAAAGCAAAATGGGAGAGAAGGGAAGGTTCTGACTGTGCTGCTCACTGCGCTGCTGGAAGCTGAAAGAAACCTTCACCCCGTTATCCAGAACTGGAGATCACGTGGGAATGGTTGGGGATGGTGGTTGGGATGGAGACGCATCTCAGTGTGTCCTCCTCTTGGAGTTAGAACTCCAGTGAGGCTGCTGAGAGCACAGGACCAGAAGTGCAGTGTTGCTGTGCACAGTGCCTACAGCCACCAGCCTGCTGCAGGATGTCCTGCTGTGGAATGCTGATAAAACCCAGACAGATTCCTCTTTGCTTTTATTGGGTTGTGGATGAGAATTATTTTGTTGCGGAAAGATTTCTTTTATTGTAGCTGATAAGCCACTGAAGTCGCACGTGGGAGGTGTGACAGTTCCTGTTCATAGTCAGGACTGGTGGTGCTATTGGACTTTTCCCATTCATTGATGAATGCAAAAAGTTCTACAGGCTTTAGGAGCCTGTATGGGTGAAAATTGGTTTATTTGGGCTTTCAACTGATTGTAATTCAGTTGGTGATTGCCGTAATCCTAGAGGTGTATTCTGGAGCTACTCAAGGCACTGCAACTTATAGTTCTCAGCTCTTATAGAAATCTATGGGAGTGCTTTATGTACAGGGAAAGAATAAGGAATTCCTTGAATGAAGAACCCTTCAAGAGTTCTTAGCTGCCCCTTCACTGTTCCTATTTAATGGCTTGGTGCACAGTTAAACACGTGCTTTTAGCAGCTACTGGGACAAGACTGTACGTGTTGCCTTTGCCAGCCTGACAAGCATGTTCTTAGAGCTGGCTGCCAGCAGTCACCAGGCCTCCTTCAGTCTTCTCCCAGATTTATGTTTTAGGAGGGGAAATTACTGATGGTCCTTTATAACTGGAGGTTGAGAACTGGTTATAATGGGGTTTTGAAAAGTGTTCTGCACTCTGGCACTTTTCTGCTAAATCTCATTTCTGTTTTGTCTTTTCAGCTTGGCGTGAGCAGTGTTGGTTCGTGCCATTCAAGAAGCTCCTAAGGAGTGAAGAGTCAAGCTGCAGTTTGGATTACAGACCTCTAGACCTTTGTTTCTGCAGGACTGGCACCAGGAAGAGGCTCCCAGAACACCACCTTTTTTGTAATGTTTTGTAAACTAAATATTATTGCAAAAAAATGGCAAATAACTGACATGAGTTCCAAATATGGAATGTTCTCCATCCCTTTGCTGATGCTCTTCATTTCTTCTTCAGCTGTGCTTTCTCTGTGATGCGGACCGTGGCCTTTAAATTAGCCCACAATATTCACCTGTTTGGATTTTGGTTACTGATAACTAGAAAATATTGCCTTAAATAGAGGATTAATATTCTGCTCTGCAGCAGGCAGTTTCAGCACATATATGGCACTGCCCACTCTTTCTTTTTGTGCTCTTGGTGTTTCTGCTGTAGGTAGGCATAAGAGCCCCTGTGTTTCCTGTACCAAAAACACAGTAGTTAATTTGCCACCAGGAGTTTCAGAAGGCACCACCTGCTGTCCTGCCCTGACTTGCAGCTGTTTTCACGGGGCTGCTGATTCTGAAACGATCAGCTCTGATTGAAAATGAAGTTTCTCAAAGAAGTCAAACCAGGCACTTAGCAGCCAGTTGTGACTGCCTGCAGGAGTTCGATCTGTTGTTTGCAGGTGTCAGACCTGTGTGGTCCTTCCAAGACATCTGCAGAAGATCCCTGAGAAACATGCAATTGCTGGTAGGCTCTGCTGTGCTCTGTGCAGTTGGCACTTCCTGAGAAACTCGCAGAAGTCAGCAAAGCAGAAAGAGTTGAACCATGTGATCCTGAGTTACCCTGGAGGTGAAGGTTAATTAGCAGTTCTAAAGGGTTGTTGCATTCAGCTGTACTTTCCACGTTTAGGGTGTGCTGTTGAAGAGTTCTGCCCTTGCCTGGCAGTAATGGCGATGCAGAGGAGCTGTAGAGTTCACAGTTTCCATTTATATGTATATATATATATATATATATATATATAAATTAAGGGAGCACTTACAGCTCCCTTAATGCAATGGACAGCCTTTCTTGGCTGATTCCATGTCTCCTCCTTGTGTCAGTGTTTAGCATCAGAAGCTGATTTCCTTCTGTCATCTTGCAGGGCTCTGTTATTAGGAATAGGTAAAGAGCCTGACTGCTGCTGCGCCTGTTGGCATGGAGTCACCAACTGTAAATAAGTAATGCTGAGCTTTTCTTGTTTATTTTAGCAGCTTTGTGGGTTTTTTTTCTTCCTGATTCCAATCATTAGGCAGAAATCCTAGATTGTATCAGTGATCTCGATAAGCGTTAGAATTGCCTAAGCAAGAAGAATAATCCAGTTTCTATGAAATGCAGATCTGTTAGTGAGAAAGATTCTGGGATGGTGGTGAGGGTGGTAAAATGCCAATTAGAGACAGACAGGGGGAGGGCATTGCTAACTATGGTGTGTGAGTTCTGATGAAACTTGCACTGAAATTTGGGAACTGGGAGGTGGCAAATACAGTATCAGTTCTAAACAAAAGGTTTGTGGGAATTCTGAACTGGGAAGGTGGGCCTTTGTGGGAAGAGAATGAACAGGAACTGTAATACAGAATGAAATCAGTAGAAACATCACGAGGCAGCAATAAACTGGATGCTTTAATTGCAAGTCATGTCTCATGAGGCCTATGGAGTAATTTAAGGTTTGGTTGTAATCTCTCTGAATTTCTGAAGAGGCTTTTGGCAGGGCTTTGTGCCAAAGGCTTTTAAGGGCCCTGGATATCCTGTGGGATAATCACAAACATCATAATGTTTGTGCCAGATGGGGGAAAATGTCAGAGTAAATGATTGGATCTTTCACTGGGATTTCAGAGGGAGCTCAGCTGTGCCCTGTTGGGGCAGGGCAGTGGATCAGTGCAGTGCAGTTTGCTCAGACTGCCTCACTCTCACTTGTAAGGCTGAGAACTGACTGATGTGTTGATGGCAGGGTGAGACAGGAGATCCCTCTGAGGTTTAATGCCTGATTATAAAGGACCACTTCTGTTCTGACTAGTGGTTGGTACATCCCAGCATACTTAAACTTACCTGGAAAAATGGGCCTGCTGTACTGGTGATCAGATTATTCACGCTAGACAAGAATGAATGAATCAGTACAGAACGCTGAGTGCAAAATAGAGCACGTAATGGGCTGCTCTTTGCGGGAGCTGCAACTGCTGTGCTTAGGGTGGGTGTGCCAGGACACCCCTCTTGCTGCCCAGATGGCCTGTGCTGCAGAGCAGGGTGTGCTGTGCCAAGAACACGCTTGGAAGAGCCCCGTGCTTGTGGGGTAGAGTTGGGTAAGCGCTGATGTTCCTCCTCCCCTGTGGTGGCAATATGTCCTGGTGCTGGGCTGCTGGGCAAGTGTGCAGTGTGTCCACCTGTCTGTGGAGATGCTTTACCTGTGCTGGTGGGAGACGGGCTGGGTTGAACTCAGATGCTGTGCTTGTGTAACATCAGACAGGATCCCAGCAAAGAGCTTGGATGTGGGAGCCTAAGGAGCTGTGTCCTACATGGATATCTGCGCCTGGATCCAGGCCCCCAGAAATCACAGAGCAGTACGCAGCCTGCACCTCCAAAGTGAGCGCGCACTAGGAGTCAAATTAAGAGGTAGTTATAAAAGGTACCAAGTTCCTTAAAGCTGCAGGTCTTGAGTTCTGGCACTGTGGGGCACAAGGCTTACATCACTGCTGCAAGGCAGAGAGCTGGGTGAGCAAACAGCTGAGCTTCCTACAGACCCTCATATCGTGCTCACTGCACAGCTTGGCACTCAGCATGAAGTCCTGAAGGAAAGCAAAGCCAACCTTTGGCTACGAGGAGGAAAAAACCCCAAATGAACAAAAGCAGACATTTCTCCCGGTTGTAAATTATTATTTTTTTAATGATGGCTGTTGGAAGTTGCTCAAGGTTCGGGCTGTCACAGTCCCAGAGATGGCAGCGTACAGATGAGTTCGATGTGCCATGTGGCTGTGGCATTCATAGTGTGCATTCTACCACATAAATAGTACACGTAGCAACTTACGGAGTAGCGTGTATGGGGGGTGTCTAATTAGTAGCTCTGATTTCATTTGGTCCTTTGCACTCCTTCACCCATCATAAGACATTGCCACATTTTTTCACTAAGATTCAGTTTTGCATCTACTAGCTTCTCACTTATTTCATAATATCTTTGTAATACATTTTATGCTTAAACAATAAGAAAATGTGGCTATGGAAATTAATCATGAAAGACAAAATACAGTTGGAGACCACGTGTTGTGCAGTCCTAGTGGGCTTCACTATGAAATACCTATTGGTCTATCTGGCTTCGCCATAGCAATGTTTGAGCACTAGTTAGAAATTCAGAATGCAAACAATCTTTCTGCTTTTTCATTCCTCATCGTTGTAATTACAAATACAGCACGTTTGTCAAGAAAATAAAAATCCTTGGATTTTTTTTTTCATAGATGATATTACGGGGTTGTACTTTTCTAAACTAGCTGGACATTCTGTGCATTGCACTTCCATTGCACTGAATAACATTCAGTTATAGAGGCAGAGGGCTTGCACTAATCACCTGTTCCCTACAGCAGGCGTGCAAAGCAGTTCACATGCTTATGTGAATGGCACTTTCATAGAGGGCTGGATTTAACCATCAGATTGCATTGCAAGAGACTTCTCTTATTTGACGTGGTGGCATTGTCAGAATCAACAACAAAATGAGCTGTGCACACGTTAGGGTTAGGACCCAACATCCCAAACCATTCACAGTCGTCACAGGGATAAGCAGAAGCTACTGCTGTAAGAAGAGGGCTGTGAAAAGTTACTGACTGGAGGCCCAGGAATTTGTGTAGCCTCTGCCTGAGGTTTATGGCTCTGTCAGCTGCGGCTAGCGATGAACTCATTCTACTGTGTGACATGCTTCCTTTGGTCCTTGCCAAATATTTGCACGTGAAGAAGTGAGCAAAAACAAAATTTCAAAGGCATACAATGTTTGTAACATCTACAGGGATTGGATTTTGTCTTATAAACAGGCCTAATTCTTACTGTACCTCGACTATTGCAGCAAAACATACTGACGATCTCACTCCAAACACATTTCCATTCTCCTGAAACCCAACGTACAAATTCCACAATCTAGTTACACATGCCACATAACAACAATTCATCTTTTCCCAGCATCTTAACGGGGGCAGAGTGCAGTCTACATTTATACATTTTCCATTACATTGGTAACCACGGCTTCCTGGCTCGTGGGAGCTTAAGATCCCATGACATCATTCTTTCACCAATAGCTCCCAAAACAAAAACGTGTATTCCCATAATCGGTGCTGTTATATGCAATTAGCTTGTCTTCAGACTGTCCCAAGTAGGACTCGATGTTGCCAAGTAACATTATGGTGTCTGGTTTGGTGCTTGGTGAGCTTCTGCTCAGCACTCGTTGACCTCCTGGAGGGCTGAATGGTTCCTTGTGCACGGTGCTGAGTGGCAGCGTTGATTAGTTATGAATGTACAAAACATCTGACCAGCAGGTATTGGAAAATTGTTTCCAGGTTTATTCCCTGGTTTTTGTAATAAACTAAGAAGATCTCTTAGAATGGCTCAGCATCAGAATGTCTTCTGCTTACGACACTGAATTGTTCCTGTTCATAGGTTTCATGATCTTAATTCATTTATGAGAGCTATTAAAAAAATGGTTCTGTTCAGAGGTGGTTTAGCTACACTGGAGAATGCTGGGTTTAACAGGGAGCACTGGTGCAGGGAACTGACAGAAGTTTCCCAGAACAGCTGAGAAGGTTGAAGAAAACCTGTCTTGAAGTCTCTGATGTTTGCAGAGTGGGCCTGTGGAGAATGGCACACCAAGACTTACACGACTGAGGCATTTTGAAGGAACGAGGCTCCACACCGCCTGTATTTTTTTCCAGTTTTCCTGCTGCTTTCAGTCCCAGGATGTCCAAAACTTTGTAAGTCACTGAAGTAGTTTTGTTTGGTAGGCTCTGAATGCATTTTTTTTGTTTGTTTTTTTTTTTTGTCCATATCCTCATCGCGTCGATGTGCAGCTGGCTGTGTCATACCCACTCCTGGACAGGTCTTTTGTAGTACACAACATTCTGCTGCACCTCTTTGTTTTTAAACTGGAAGATCGTGTACACCAAGACAAGGATACACAGAGACAAAATGCAAGGGATCACAACTGCAATTGCATTTACAGTGCTAGGCACATCATTTATTGTCACCATAATATCCACATCGTCGTGGGGGAGGCGTCTGTCTTTGCTTCGCTCGACATCCTTCTGGTTGCAGCCCATCCAGTCTTTGAGGATTGACCTGGGGTAGCCTGGCTCCACGTTCAGCCTCTGGTTATCAAACTTCCAATACTCCTTCCCCTTGTAGAAGTAGGTATAAACTAGGAAACAAAACAGAACAGTTCTCACCAAACCATTTCCAACTGATCAAACTGCATGCATGAGGGTGTGCAGAGAGCATGAAAGGCTGCAAGGTGGCAGCTCTCATGCCAACAGCACACACATCCCAAAACAAGGAAAATGTGCAGGCATAGTTGGAGCTTGATTAAAAGCTGAAACCCCAACCTTGGCTTGCAGGTGCCATGCTGTCCACAGAGCACCACTCCCCTGGGCCAAGACAAGCTGCTCACTTTCCCCATCTTAAAGTGTTCTGCACTGATTTGTTTTCCTTTTTGTTTGTTTCTTTGTCTGTTTGTTTGCTTGGTGTTGTTTTTTGTTGTTGTTTGTTTGTTTCAAACTAAAACATCTGTAAATATGCACTGGTCATTACCAAGCTATTAGCAGTCTTCAGAATGAGGGTGCCTGGCTGTGATAGTGCTGTGATGGATACTTGGGTTTCTGTTCTCATTCTGAAAGACCAAATGCCAAATAAAACCAGTCCTCTAAACAGCAGAATCTGGAAGAGTTGGGTGTTGTTGAGAAACTGTCTCGTCCTGCTGCTAGTAACAAGCAGATGGTTTACACTACTTGTTGTCTCAAGTACCTCTCATCTCCCCAAGGAACTCCAAGATTCCTCCCCTAATCACTCTTCCATGATTAGTGAAAAAGAAAACTTCACACCACAGAGAGAAATGTACTGGAGGAAACCTATGGAAGTCCAAACCCATGCTCAGGGCCTGGCTAACTTCAAAGTACATCATGCAGGCTGGAGACAGCAAGTGAGCTAGCTACAGATAACAGACCAGAGAAAAATGTAGCTCATAATGACGGCCCAAAAAAACTTAGGTGGGGACTGCTGAGGAAGTAAAATCAGGAAAAAAAGTCCCTTTCCCATCCCAAAGAACTGCCTGTGGTTTAGCAGCTAAGAGGCTGCCTGGGTTGGGATAAGGGAAGAATCTGACTGCCTGTACTCACAGGTGTCAGTGTGACCTCGGGCTGCCTGACACTTGAATCCTACCTCACCAAAAACACCCAACACACCCCAAATCCAGCAACCCAACTCCCAAGCTAGACAAGCCGTTATCCACGTAATTTGTAAAACGACTGCAGATACATACAGCCCTCTTTGCTGATAAAAGCTCCTTGTGGAGCCTGAGGGATTCCTCTCCACACAGTGATGGGCTTTGGGTATCCTGGGTCCGTCGCCCTCTTGTCCTCGTTGTACCTCCAGTACCTGTCTCCTTTGAAGAAGT